GGATTTTCTTTTTTTGTGTGTCAGAGAATAAATAAAGATAATCAGTATATATTAAAATATTATGAAGAAAAAGGATTAATAGCATTACTATTACTATTACTATTACTATTACTATTACTATTACTATTACTATTACTATTATTAATATCATTACCACTATTACTATTGCGATTTTCTGAGTATTTAGGTCTTTTACTTGGTAAAGTTCTACTTCTTACAAGACCAGTACTTTCAGATGGTTGAATTTCACTAGATGATGATGGTAAAGTAGTGTCTAATGCGAATGGTTCATGTGATAGACTTTGTCTTCTTAAAGATATTCGTTTTACCGGTGGGTTATTTAAATCAAATGGTTCTTTTAAATTTTGCGGTGAATTATCTCCTATTACGTTGTTAGGTTGAAAAGCTTTTGGTTTTAAACTCTGCAATTTATCATTACTATTATTATCGTTGTAGTTGTAGTTGTTGTTGTAGTTGTTGTTGTTACTATCATTGGTAGAAGAAGAGGCATTATTATTACCAGCAGTGGTAATGTTACTCGTTGGCAAAAAGTAATTTTGATGCTCAATTAAAAATCCCAATACTTCTTGTGATAATTTATATTGTTCGGGCGACATATTGTGTGATGGATGTGATAAAACACCAGGTTGAAAAATTGATGCCAAATTACTCGATGGCATTAAATTTTCTGATGATTTTGATGAGAAAACTGCTAGTAAGTCAAGGATATAGAGTAATAAATGTTGATTTTCTTTTGGAAGGTTTGCAATTAATTTTTGATAATTAATAACTCTAGTGGTTGGATCTGAATGTGTTACTAGATATATATATATATATATATATATATATATATGAGTTATTATAGAGTAAATTGATAATGTTTTTTTGATATAATCGTTAAAAATTAATTAAGGAACTTACAGTGCACAGATCTGAAGGCATCATACCATTGAAGTGGAATGACAGGATCTGGTAATTGATTTAGATATCTACGGAAAATATTTGCAGCATCATGTACAGAATAACCCGTCCAATCCAACGTTTTTCCGTAAGATGGTGGAGTATCAAATTTTATTTGTAATTCTTTTATTCTTTTTGCTGATCCGCTCAACCTAAATATACCTTCTGTTGTGGTGGCTATTGTTATTATTGATATTGTTGTTGATGATAAAGATAGGTCATTTAGTAAATTATATAGAAAGAAAATAATAGAAACATAGAAAAAACAAAATAAAAAGCCAAATAAAATGATAGAAAGAAACCTTGTGATTTTAAATACATTCCACATTTTGCAACAATAATTGGTATATAACCATAAACATATTGTTGACCATCGGCAGCAGTCATACATATTGGAACACTTGCATAATGTATTCCTTCAGCTAAACTTACACCGAATACACCTCGATGATCTTATTTTAAATAATTATAAAGATTTATAGTTAAAATTTTGGGAAAAAAAAATGGATACATGAATACGGTTTTAATTTTAAACTTTTTTTTTTTGATATAAAAAAAATATATTCTTACCATTTTCTTTGCCCTCATCTTCTCTTTTTCCTTTTTTTGCAGTGAATTGTTTCCACCAAGATTTTAAGTTTTCTTTTGTTGCTGTAGACGGCAATTCTGAAGGATTTTGATGCGGCATTTTTTTATTTTTTAAAAACTTGATATTTACTTAATATAGTTATACTTATATATTAATATTTATATAAATATATACACCGGTATAATGTTTTTTTGTTGATATTTTTTGCTGATAATTTTAAAAAGTTGTAAAATGAGTAATTGTAAAAAAAAAATTAAAAATGTTTGTAATTATAGAAATATTAAATATGAAATATATCACATAACTATTATTTGGTACACAATATAAAGAGAGAAAAGGTGGCTTACCGTTTGTAACGACTTGTGACCTTAACTTGCAATTTTTTCACTGAAATGATCCAAATTAAGTTAATAAAAATTGTAATTGAAAGTTTATTTATATTTATATTAATTGGTTTATTTATATTTTTAAAAGTTACATGATAAATTATTATTATTATTAATTAATCCGTAACACATTCATATTTATTTAACTTTATTTAGTAGAGATTAGTGACGATTCTTCAAAACGGGCGGATTCTCCCAGTTACAAAGTGAGCGGATTCGCGCAATTCGGGCTAATATGTAAAGAACATGTATATAAAGAACTTGATTTCGACCTAATGTAAAAGCAA